GTGTGTGTGTGTGTGTGGGTGTACTATAGGTTTTCTCCACTGCATCATGCGTCGCTCAATGGGAACCTGGAGCTCATCACTCTGCTGCTGGAGTCACAGGCAGCTGTCGACATCAGAGACCAGAAAGGTTAGGGGATAATGCACACACACACACACACACACAAACATGGATACACGTATACAAACAAAAAAAAAGAGAAATCTGACCTTTGCACGTACATAAAATACTGTTTGTGTCCCCCTTGTACACATAGACACTCACTGATGAATAATGTATATATATCTCAGTGTGTGATTGACACGGCCTGTGTGTTCATACTGTGCATGCGCGTGTGTGTGTGCCTCTGCGCGTGCAGGTATGCGGCCGCTGCACTACGCAGCCTGGCAGGGGAAGGCGGAGCCTATGAAGATGCTGCTTAAGTCCGGCTCGTCCGTCAACGGCCAATCGGATGAGGGACAGATTCCCCTCCACCTGGCAGCGCAGCACGGCCACTACGACGTGGTGAGTGACAGCGATTCATCCGCAAACAGAGCCCAAAGTGGAGGACGGTCACGGCGGGGTCATGAGGCCGTCTTTGTCAACTGATTTACCCGTCACGTGTACTAACCACGCCTGATTCACGTAACAAGGCCTTTCATCATGATTCATACTCATGTTAGCATCCTTTAGTTCTGAAATAGCGGAATGGGCTGCCACAGATGCTAAAAGGATGCATTGTTATTTGCGATTGTTGGCACCTTTAAAGTGACTTTGATCACATTTGTGTAATAGCAGTGGATAAAATGACTCCATGGTATGTTTAAAGAGGCCACTGGTTCATCCAGCTTTGCTGCTCCTCGCAGTTTTACAGAGCTTTTAAGCGTCTTTTAGGTCAATGTTTTGGTTTTCTGGTCCATAATTTGACTGTTTTAGTTCACTCTCACTGCTCTAATGGCATTATAAAACTGCCATAAAAATATTATATATTAATATCATTAACTTTCACTGAGAATTTTTGTGCAGGAAAAGAGCATGTATTTGATCTCATAGAGCAAACATCAGAAAATAGCTCAATCTGGTGGAAAAATGGTAAAAACTACAATTTAGAAGCTGGGGCTCTATATGAAAGCCCTTAATAGGTGATTTTATGCTGTAATGGCCATAGGGTCAAAATCAGTGGTTTTAATGGGCTTCAATGGGGACATTTTTGTCCTTAAGGGGCTGAGTGTCTGTATTTTGGCTCCACGGTTTATTATAGACTTATTATAGGAGCTGAGGTTGAACCTCCAAAATAAATCAAATAAAAAAATTTGCACCCGTGCCAAAGAATTATGCAAAATGCGTTAACAAAAATGATCCAAAAATGAAACATCAATATGCCAAAAATGTCCCTAGAGATGCATAAGGGTTATTAAAAAGTGCTGATATGTCAGTGTTTACAGCATGTTTCTGCTGACCCCAAGTGGCCAAATTATTGTACAGTTATTGCAGGTTTAACATCACCTGCTAATCAGACAGAATTTACTTTTTTTTCACTTCACTTCACCATTCCATCTTCTCCATTTTTCCGTCGCTAGGTAGATATAGTATACTGTATATAATGTAGCTATATTTACCTGCTGTGACGAGTCTGTCGTGAAAAGGGCCCGTTTGAATCGCTGAACAAACGAGAGATGTGGGAGCTGCAGCCGATCCATCTGGAATCAGGCTGCCTTTAAGTTTCCTTTAACATGTATCGCTTATGTCTTATTATTATCCAGTGAGTGCCCATTTTTCCTGAGACTATGTAAGACAGACGGGTTAAGAAACAAAACGAAACACAGGCGTTAAAGAAAATTTCACCTTGGAGGCTTTTCCAGCTAAGAAGAAGAAAAAAAAAACAATCTGTGTGAAGCACTGCAGTGCTGCTGCAGGGCTGCCAAAGCAACAACAATGAAATATAGCTGCACACTCACTCCAGCAGCTAACATACCCAGGAGGAGAGCGACGCTCAGCATCCACAGGCTCAAAAAACCAAAGAACCATCCCTTCTCTTTGATTAAATAAGCATGATTTATACAGGGTAACAAACCGGCGCCGACGCTCTAATCTACAGCTGCTTCCAGTGTGCAAGGGCAAATGAATAAAAAATTACAGAAAAACTGAACCGGACCACCGATTACAACATGAATCATTTACCGTCACAGAAAAGATTTAACATTTGCTTTCACAGCAATTATGGCGAGACGGTGTTTTTGTCTGAGACGAGGGAATCTAATTTGAAGTGCTCTCCGGATTTGTTCCATTTTCAAGGTTTATTAGAAAGCACAATGAGCTAATTCCCTCTAAGTCTTTTACCACTTTAAACCAAGCTTTTCCTTTCACTTGATGTCACAGTGCTCCTCTGAGGCCGTTGTACAGCGACAAGCCGCGTGCCTACAGGGAGGGATTCTCTTTAACTCAACTAGGGGCAAAAACTGGAAAAACAGTTTTGCATTAGATGTACAGTCAACTTATCTCGGCAAACAGCCGCTGTGTGCTTATGCGTCCGTGAGTGAGTGCACCTCTGTGTCAATGCACTCGGCTGTGTTATCACTAGTGGCCCCCGGCGAACAGGGGGCCAGTTAAGAGTAGTGAGTGAGGAGTCAGCAGGCCGTCAGTGGCAGTAAAAAAACAATAAAATAGTGTTTTGGGAAAGTGTGAGTCACCTCCAAACCAGGAGAGGTCCTTGAGCACGCAGCCATAACTGGCCATCGAAAATATGAAGCTATTTGCTGCAGCTGAATACGAGAATAGCCGTGGACAGACATGGAGGTGCACACTTACTCGAGGAATCACGCACACGTGCAATCGATCACATAATCCCCCAGGTAACGGTCTAGATTGACAAATAGCACTACATGTAAGGTTCATTTTTTGGGGTGAACTGCCCCTTTAAGAAGCTAGCAGAACGGAGGCTAGCCAGGATGTGATGTCACAACTTTGTGTCCTCGTTGCTCTTCCAAGACGTTGTCACTGATTGGACAATTGCTGTTCTGGTTACGGTTGATTGGTGACTCTAAATATCTCTGAGGTGTTTGCGTGAATCGTTGTTTGTGTGTTAAGCCTTCAATAACGGATTCATGGATTGTTTTAATATCTGTTTTTTAGTTTTTTCCTCCTCATGTGTCGGTGTGTGTGTGTTTTTCCCGTCTCCAGTCGGAGATGCTGCTGCAGCACCAGTCCAACCCGTGCATTGTGGACAACGCAGGGAAAACCCCTCTGGACCTGGCCTGCGAGTTCGGCAGAGTCGGGGTAAGAACCTACGGTTTTAGTCGTTATTCAAAAGACAGCAGCACCTGAAGACAATCTACAGAAGTCATGACCAAAGTTTGTGTGTGTGTATGTGTGTGTGTGTGTGTGTGTGTGTGTGTGTGTGTGTGTGTGTGTAGGTGGTCCAGTTGTTGCTGTCCAGTAACATGTGCGCTGCCTTGCTGGAGCCCAAAAAAGGAGACACCACCGACCCCAACGGAACGTCTCCGCTCCACCTGGCCGCCAAGAACGGACACATAGACATCATCAGGTACACACACACACACACACACGCAGCATTTTCTAATGTATCACTGGGTTTAAATGTCCTCCTGAGCTTGCTGAGAAAACAGATACATAACACAACAGGGGAACAACACGATCCAATTAAGCGAAGGAACAATGTGTTGCCATTCAGTGAGAGATGACGCATCAGTCACATACTCTGAAATATATTTTTTGAGACTTTTCACGCTGCAGATTTTGCAGAAGGCGCTCCATCACGGTGGATGTCAAGTCGTTATAATCCCATCACGACGGGGGACGTGCGTCTTCATCTTTTGTTTACCTGTTTGCGAAAGAGCATGGCGGCAATGTCACTTCTGTTGCCGCAGCAACGTCAGCTGTCGGGCACGAAGCCTCCGGGATGAAGGAGAAGGAGGGAGACGCTGAGAGATGAGAGAAGACCGCAACTGAGGGAAGATAAGATGGGGAGAGAGAGAGACCGAAAGAGAGAGAGAGAGAAACCGAAAGACAGAGAGAGACCAAAAGAGAGAGAGACAGAGAGAGAGAGAGAGAATAAAGCCTGTCACAGCTGATGGAGCAGAGCGTGCCTCTAGATGTGACGCTGATAAATGATGCTCATCAGGCATGGCCGGCAGTCTGCAGAAGACACACAAAAACACTGACTCCATGTCAGTAGAAATTAGAGGAAGACGAATTGCGTCTTTGGCGGCTTCTTTTTGACAGCTGCCTCATGTCATCTGATCTTTTCAACCTTGACTCTTTTTTCTTTTTTTTCTGACCCTGTCATTGAACATACGGGGCTGGGAATGTTCTAGACTTAATTTGGCACTGCACCATTGAACCACTCTGCCATTAGGGCCTTGACTGCTCTGACATACTTGTCTTTTTCGACAGGTTCGCCAATTTGTAAAGCTCTGTCAAAATGGCCACTGGGTTCGTGGTCCCCTCACTGATTCAGGGCCCTTTTTTGCCTGGTCGCTGAGTTAGATTTTAAGCTTGAATTATACGGACTTGGGCCATAGCTATGGAGCCTGTGCACGTATTCATTCATGTTTCTGCGACCGGGAATCAGGCAGCCAGCAGCAGGCTGGGTAGTGGACTAGCCTCAGGTCCTAGCTGGGTTAGCTTAGCTTCCATCTCGGCTCTCTTCCCGTGGGCAGTTTGGTGGCATTTGGTCCAGCAGGTCTGCCTGGTTGGTCGGTGATCGCCTCAAAGTCCACTGCTCTCCATCCAATGACCACGCTTCCTTTCCAGATGTTGATGAATGTGTTCTGCCATATGCCATTAGTGATAAACACGAAAAGAAATGTAGCAGAATTCATGGGAGCTAGCGGCAGCAGCATTTACATGCGCCGCCGTCGTGGGCTACACGTTAGCTACAGGAACTGTGACCGGAGTTTCTGGCAGCGGTTGAGATTGTGAAGATAAGAGTTAGGTATAATCTGTAACTTCAATATCACTAAAGCTGCAAAACGCGTGTTAATCCGCAGCTAGAAATAGTCCCCCAACAAACGCACCATTGTTACGTGTTTGAATAATGTTTTAAACTACGATGCCCAGCTGGGGCTTTTTTTTTCTTTCTTCAAATGAAAGATTTCGATCTTCAGGAGGAACAAAGGGGCTTGGAGCAGAGAAGTTTTGAGAGATGGACTAACACATGGATTTTGGTCATTTCATGAGATTTGTTGGCAATAAGAGAAATATAGAGTAATGTCAGCCTTATCCTTTAAATCAGTTGCAGTGTACCATGACTTCACTTAATTTTTCTCTCTTTCTCTTATCCTTATCTCCCACTTGACCTCATTCAACTCCTCTTCCCTCTGCGTCCTTGTGTGTCTCCTCTCTCCTGACTTTCTCACCCTCCCACCTCTTCATCCTCTCTGTCCTTTCTCCTGCCCTCTGCTGTCAGACTGTTGATCCAGGCGGGCATCGACATCAACCGACAGACCAAAGCGGGCACTGCCCTGCATGAAGCCGCCCTGTGTGGAAAGACTGAGGCAGTGAGACTCCTGCTGGAAGTAAGTGTAACTTTACTGAGACCTTTTTAGCACTGGCCCCTGGAGTTGGCTTCACTTAAAGGACCATTAGGATCTAAGATGGGACACTTCAAGGCCAAAACCTCCCCTGAATGTAACTGCTGTCTCCACTACTGAAAAATATTATAGCTGTCACAGTAACTTATGTAAGGCGACGTAAAAAGGGGGAGGCATTTTCTCTTTCCATAAAATTACAATAAAACATTTTATTTATTTGTTTAATCAAAATAATAAGGCTCTCTGTGCGCTGTGATGAAGCTACGGAAGACATTTACTGAATACCGTGTGGTACAGAACAGAAAATGAAACCCTCTTCTCTGTTGTCACTCTATGATCTCTCACTTTAGGCCCGCATAAATGAACAAGTCAATGTGCTGTACCAAATCTTCTTTTCTCTTCAACAGAGTGGTATCAATGCCACAGTGAGAAACACCTACAGCCAGACTGCACTCGACATCGTCTACCAGTTCACTGCAACACAAGCCAGCAGAGAGATCAAACAACTGCTGAGGGGTGAGACGTGGATGGATGGATGGATGGATGAATGGATGGATGGATGGATGGATGGACGGACGGATGGGTGGATGGATGGGTGGATGGATGGATGAATGGGTGGATGGATGGATGGATGGATGGATGGGTGGGTGGATGGATGGACAGACGGATGGATGGATGGATGGATGGATGGACGGATGGATGGACGGATGGACGGATGGATGGATGGGTGGATGGATGGACGGATAAGCTAATTTATTGCACATGGCTGTGGACACGGTCATGTGAGTGATTTAATACTATGTCGATTTTCTGTAACGTACAGTCTGATTTGCTGTCTCACAGATGCGTCGGCGGCCCTTCAGGTTCGGGCTCTGAAGGATTACTGCAACAACTACGACCTGACCAGCCTCAACATCAAAGCAGGAGACGTCATAACGGTAACACGCACACACACACACATACACACACACGCACACAAAATGTCTATTCTCAATGTCGATAATGACGACAACTAAAACAATGTTTTATGTGCATCAAAGCTGATAAGTGAGTCAAGCTTTGTTGACTATAGTGAGGCATTTTTTAAATGTCTTTTCATAATCTTTTTTTCTTGTAAAACAGTATTTTGTTTTACCTCATTAGGCTTCTACATTTTTTAAAAAACTTATTTCAGACTTAGGAAATGGATCAACAGAATTGTTGTCCTCACTTGCCTCTCAGGGCTTCCGTTCTACAGTTTTCGAGTGTTTGGATAAATTAATCGTGAAAGCTGGTTGGTTGTCTTGACATCGCCCCAATAACCAAAATTGAAAATGCCTGCACCGTGTTTGATGAGATTACGAATGAATATGCAAGAATGAGTGGTTTCAGTTTCCCTCATTTACTACGCATATGTTTGACAGAAAAATGTATTATAAATTGGAGTGTAAATTGCAGTGCAGTCCACCACTCATGAATATTTATGAGCATCTATGCAGCCTTTGGGTACTGGTTACTGTAATTAGGAAGCCAAGCAGTAACTATGCTTTCTCCCTCGAGGTCTGAATGAACAATTTGGCTTCGCTGCTGTCTGACACAGGGAATTTTAGACGGCTCCGAAATGCAGTTTTGTGTTTGTGTTCGACAAGAAAAATTATTTTAAGCTAAAAAAAAGATGGTTCCATGATAGTTTTCTTTCAGTAACTTTTGCAATAGATGGAAACTAGATGGAACTTAATATTATAGTCGTAAACATGCCCACCTGACAGGTTCTGGAGCAGCACCCCGACGGTCGCTGGAAAGGCTGTATCCATGACAACCGTACAGGAAACGACCGAGTGGGCTACTTCCCTTCCACCATGGTGGAGGTCATCAGCAAGCGCACAGGTGTGTTTACTCATGTGTGTGTGTGTGTGTGTGTGTGTGTGTGTGTGTGTGTGTGTGTGTGTGAGTGTGTGTGGAGTAAATTAAAACAAGGACCAAACTGACTGTCTGGATAAAGTGTCAACCAAGTGCCACGTTACACATATTTGGACTAAACACAGATGAAGAACTTGGCAGAAAGATAGAAAAAAAGAGGAATAAATGTGAAGCTGAGTGAATGAATGATGTTTTAGCCCCATAAACCCTTGAGGAAGGCACTTAACCTTACATCTCATTCATCTCAGCACAGCGGTGCCAAACACCCAGCTGTCATCCCTGCACGGCTGAAGATGTACTCCCAGATTAATGTGTGCAATCCATTTTGGCTGATTGGGATTTTGAACCGTACTACAACTCCAGCTGATTGAAAACACACAGTTTTGGGAGTTCAGCCTGACGGTGAAAGTACCTGTTCAGTAATGTGAATATGGACACCAAAATCCTCCACATGTCCCTGGCTGGTGTTGTATTTCAGCTCTCTTTGCTTACGCTTTTCCTGCTGACTGATAGCCGTTTGTTGAGAAGTTTTTGAGGAATACGCTTGTTTGTTTTCTTACCTAGAATTTTATGAAGAATTGATACCATTAACTATGAAGCTATACTGCCAGCAGCCAGTTAGCTTTGCTTAGCTTAGCATAAAGACCAGACACAACTGATTGTTTGAAAACCTGTTAGCAGGTCAAGATTCATGGTCTGTGGATGAATATTAAACCATAATGTATCCAATTAAAATTTACTTTAAATCGAGTAAAAACATTCTTTCACACTGCTTTATAACGTTAGCCTATAGTTTATACTCTATGTTCTGTATTTACGTCGTTCATGGCCTTGCTAAAGCTATGTCACATTTATATTAGGTAAAATATTAAATTCTCAGATGCTAGTTTCATGCAGATATAGTTATATGTAGATGTCTTGAACATTGTTGTCACATTTTTCTTTAATCCACTGTGACATTCTGTAGCGATAAATAGTGCCCCACTGGCTAGCTTAAGGCCGCCGCTCTGCACTTCACTCGTACGGAGGTAACAGCTGATGATGCTGTCCCGACTGACGACTTCAACACGGAAGCGTAGCGCCCATCCTCCAATTCCCCCTCAAGCAAACACTGTTAGCTTTGTCAGCACTGTTGCCATTGTTAGCGCTGTTAGCTTCTAGCCACCAGCTCAGCCGTAGCCATGTTGAAAGCCATGTGGAGGCAGTACGGGCAATCTGTAGGGCTAATTAAGATCACCTCTAAAGTTTCCACTCGTTTCCATTGTTTGTGCTAAGCTAAGCTAACTGTGGGTGGCATTATATTCACCGTACGGATGTGAGAGTGGTATTAATCTTCACATCTAACGTGCGGCTAGAAATCTCTTGTGCATAATTCACAAAATGTCAAAATATTCCTCGCATTGCCTGTCATGTGAACTTACAACGAGGTGTATGCTAAACAAGTTAAAGATCTGCCAGGGTTACAGGTGGAATTTTGCTGTCATCTGTGTTTTCGTTACTCAACAGGTGTCCAATCTCCCAAAAAGCTGTTTTAACCACCTTTTTCCATTTTATATCACTGTGATGAGCTGTTTTTAGCCTCTCCGGTGAGATCCACAGAGCACAATCACACCCATCTCGTCATCCCAAACACTGCGCAGCCACAAAGAGGCTCAGATGTTTTTTAACTGTGTATCTATGTCTGTCTGGAGGTCTGGTATCTCTGTTTGTCCATCCGTCTGTCTCTCTTTAGTTAGCCTATTAGTATGTCCTACTTGTCTCTGTCTGTATGTCCGTCTCCCTGTTACTGTCTGCCTCATCCCCCCCGAGACCACAAAGGTCTCACTTTCATATCATCTCTCCTCTCTCATGTAGTCCATCGCTCTTTGATCACTCAGTATTTACTGTATAGTCCATTTACCACTATAGAACCCAGTCAAGGAAAATGCTGCAGTGGCTCCATCTGCCCTGAAATTCAGTGTATTATATAGCAGCTGTGGTTACAGTACAAAACAGCTGGAGCACTCCCACTGAGTTTGCACAGCCATACTGACTAATCACTGTCACACACACACACACACACACACACACACAACCTCACTCTGGGATACGGCAGCTGTTTTAGCAAGAGGTTTCATTTACTCAACTGTTTTTCATCAATTTATAATTATTCCTTTTTTTTCCTCATCAATTCTCCCCAGTCAGCCTCTTCACCTCTTATTCGTTCCTTCTTTTTCCTCAAAGGGATGTTACACATCACATTTTTTTCAACACACATAAATGGCCAATTACATCCACTAGATAGATATATGAACAATTAAATTAATTAGGCTGACTTGAAAGTTGCAGCGGCCATCACAATCACAGCGGGGAAGCTGCCAGCTAGCTTTGCACATCAGTTACAACAGCTACTTTGTAAAGTCAGGGACCAATCACAGGAATGGGGACGATGACCGTTGGAATTTAGCAGTTAGCTTGAGAGTTAGCTATCTAGGCTACGTCCTAATCGCAAATGAATAGTTTGTATTGGAGAATTCAGGATACTATCAAGGATTGTCTGATTCCCAAAGTTGTTAGGCTTTCCTTACATTAAACATAAAATATTTTTGAATCCACAAAACCTACAAAGGACTACCAACGCCTGGCAGTTTTTTTAGATCCTGTTGCAAGTGCAGAAAGTGTAACACACCTTCACTTCCCTTTCTCTCCCCGTTGTTATTGATAAATCCACGACGCTGTCCGTGGTGCTGAAGTAGCAGACGGATTTGGAAATGCAACATCTCGTCAGTTTCATCTCGGCTATATATAATATTCAAAAATATATATCTTGAATAGATAAACCAGACATTTCATAGACATATATATATACATTTGATAAATCACAACTTTGTTCTGTGCATGTGTTATTAAAAACGCAACGGCTAGCTAGCTGGTTTGCTAAGTGCACTATTTCATGTTATATGGCCAATTCAGCATCCAGTTGGTAAGCATTTAAGAAGCATTTCCATAAGTCCCAATGCTAGTATGTTCACAGAGAGGACATATTGATGTGAATCTGTAACATTTGTGCGCAGTGTCAGATCAAACAACCTATTTTGGGCATTTATATGATGAGTTATACAGCCACCAGCGGCCTTAACTACTGAGAGAGGAAACTGGTGAGCTAGCAGACACTGCTGGATGTACGGCAAGTGGAATCCTGTTACATGTTGGTAATATGCCAGTAGCTAATGACTTAAGACTGAACCACATTATGTTGAGAGTAAAAAGCGGCCGATACTCATCAGTCCCTGGGACCATCTCCTCTGTTACCATCCATCACTTCCCCTTTCCACCTCTCCATACATTTCATTTTAACGGCGCCCACATCTGTTTGTCCACTCCTTCTCTTCATCCTCCCGCCTTTAACATTACCGTTTGTTTAATTTTGTAACTTCCGCCTTTGTTTTAAATTTTTCTTTTCTCCCCCCCCCCCCTTCTTTCTTATGTGTAATTCTCTGTTCTCTGTTGTTTGTGTGTCTCGTGGCGGTGGTTCACTGTTGGCTGATTGTGTGTGTGTGTGTGTGTGCGTGTGTGTGTGTGTGTGTGTGTGTGTGACGTCACGGTGGGTGTTATCTAGGTTTGGCCAGCACAGTCATTTGCACCCAACAGTTTCAAAAGATACCGCTGGTTCCTCCGGCGACGGTTGCCCCTGCCAACGCGGTAGTCAACGGCAACGACACCACGTTCCATCAGATCCATATCCTGCCTCCACCGCCTCCTCCTCCACCACATTCCCATCAGCCACTGCTTCCACTTTTCACTTCCTTTGGCTATAGCAAGTCGCCCGTGACAACCCCACTGGGAGACACACCCACTGCCCCAGGTACACGGCCCCTTTTTCATTATTTGTATTATGATTATGATTATTATGATTATTATTAAAGCTTCAAGGGATGCTTTCCTCCACCTATGCTAAAACACACCATGTCTGATTGGTCATGTAAGATTCTTATTGATGTTTTCAATGTTGTTTTAAGAAGGCATCCATTGAAGTTTTCTGTTATGGATCATTATTTATGTATCTTTATGTGTTGCTCATACTATATAACTTTCCTTTTTCTGTTGTTGCTGTTGTCATCTCCATTACTGAGAGCCAGAGTCAGCTTTTAGCCGGGAGTCTAATGTGCTTAAGCCACTTGCTATTGTATCACTATTGTAGAAATGAGAGCTTTGCCCAGTGGACATACAATATGAGCGATAAAAAGAGAAATATTTGTTGCTCATGGTTTAGAATAAGTTGATTAAGCACAGCTATCTGATGGACTATTTCACTTGGAATCCTGAAGGGTTTCATAAAATCAACTCCCATTTTTGAGACTATTTATGGTCTGTAATTACCACGCTACGTAGTAGATGTCTTCGTTAGTGGCGGAGTCCGCCATCCCAACGCTGGATTCAGATTGCCTGCACACGCACTAGCGATTCACAGCAAACAATGCATCCATGGAAGATAACATTACAGTTTGTAGTTTAAGGCTGAACCACAACTTTGGCCTTTTTCACACGTAAGACCAAAGATCCCACCAGTTGCTTCGTTTCAGGGCCCGTAAATGAACAATATTATCAGTCTCATGTTAATCGGCTCTGAAATGAGGCTCCGTAGGGCCACACAGTCAACCACAAAAAAAAATCTTGCCCTGTAATAGGACAAGTCTTTATGTAAATGCTGCAAAGTAATGCCCCTCTGAAGTGGGTTTGATCACTGCTATAGCATTTCTGTTGTATTTTAAAAATAACAGCTTTGTGGGAGAGAAAACAGTTGACAAAGTAATGCTAATACACTGGTGTGGTTTTTTAAGGATGTCGTTGTAATACCGCTGACATTTCGACTCACCCCACACAAGAAAAATCTTGTGAATGTATCTGCCAGAGAAGAAGAATAGATATAAGGTGGAAGGGGAGCTCACCGCTGACCTCTGTTCAGTTTGTGCTTCACTTAAATGTCTTGCCTATTTATTTCTTTTATACATTTTTTTGCAGTTCTATTTTTTTCCCCCCTTCCTTCCTCTCTGTTCTTCCCCTGTATATCATAACTGTCCCAGCCACTAAGACAACTTCAACACACACACACATCCCACACAACCCTCTCCTGACCAGACAAGTGTGTTTTATTTATTTTTTTGTTCTGTCCTGCCTCGTCCCGCGTGTTATTGTCACGTCTGACCATTTCAACACCACTCTTACCCACCTTGCACTTATACCCTCAATGTGTCCGCGTGAGAGTGTGTGTGTGGTGTTGGTGAAGGCTTCGGACGAGGAAGCGAGTCTCGAGCTCTTCTGAATGTGCTGAAACATTAATTTAACATTTAATCATTTGGAAACAATACCAATTCAAATTGTTGTTATGTCTTTGGGTAAAAACATACATTTGTTTTCTGGAAAGGATCGATGTTGTCGCTTTAATGACAGTTAAGTTTGTCACAGAGGTTTAGTTGGAGATGTTGCTTCGTAACAAAAAGCTTTTTCAGACATCAACGGGTGATATATTCTGACTAACTCAAAACTCCAGTGAGATATTGCAGCTGGAATAAACCTAATTCATTCTCATACAGGACTCTTTAACATAAGGTATTAGAAATGAAATGCTGATAATCTGCATTACATGCAAAGATTCAGCAAATTCTAACATATAAAATGTCAAATGTTGCGTCACAGAGACCCAAATGCATTGTTAGAAAATGTCACCCAGGATGTTCTGCACGTAAGGTATTCACTGGCCCGATCCCCAATCTCCACGCTCACGGACTTTGAGGCGTGTTCCCGCAAAGTCCTTGGGGGTTTAAGGCTGTCCCACTTTCAAATCGTCGAGTGTTTGAGGGCTTTCTCCCGCAGACATTTTGAGCCCTTCGTGAACACTCTCTGTAACTCTGCATTTCTGCAGACTTTGCCAAAGGTATTTACCCACAATTCATAGCGTTGTGACGTTAAACACGGGGTTGCCAGCGGAAGCCAGAGAAAAGGTGAACGAAGAGGACGGCACAAGCCTGTTATTACATTTACACAGAAACGTTAAGGATTTAAGGTGGAACATAAAAACACATGGGAGCGGAGGAACGCAATCCGAGGCTATTTATTACACATAAGTTATTCATCAAACATTTCCTTTTGTTGTTGAAGCTGTTTTGACATAAACGAGTAAATAGATTGATTGACAATTACCTCTCATCTCCTGAGGCAAAGGCCTGGAATACGTTTAAATCAGGGAATAAAAAGTATAGAAATAATACTCACAATTGTACATGACTTGTCGTTGTGAAGGCAAACAATTGCAGCCTCTCACACTCAACCATTTACCAGGTGGCGTCAGTTAAGTCCCTGCGGGTTCGGGGTCTAAGACCTTATAGGGGGCATTGGGATTGGGCCACTGACTGTAAATGTTCTACCAGGTGAATAGAAGCCTTTGCTGGACACCATTTTGATTCCTCCAGGAGAATAAACCCCTTTAGGAAAGTGTATTGTCATTAAGTCCAAGAAAATACAAAAAAGGGAATGCAGTACCCAATTAAAGAAAAGTAAAATGCCTTTACTTATACATACATCAGGTTGGTACAGTTTCCCTCAGCTTTGATCACATTGTTTGAAATCGGCACATTTTTGGAACTTACAAATGATTCCAGTCAAATCAAATTCTTTGAAAACAGACTTCAGTCCTTTGTTTGAGGTCACTTGGAAGGAGGCAAAATGGCCACAAGAAGGAGCTGCAACATTACATGGGAGCAAATGGAACAATTTTTTTACAATGTGTGTGTTTATCCGGAGCACTGTCGGTCACACATATAAACCATTTATAAACCCGTACTACGATGGTTATAATGGTTTATGACACTCTCCAAATGCACTACAGCAGCCCCATTGTGGCAAGGCTTGCATATATAATCACACACATATGGCTGCATTATATATGTATATGTATGTGTATGTACATTATGGCATATATGTGTATATACACAGATATTCATGTTATGGATTTATTTATGTACGATGGGTATATAAATGTTTTCATATATCTATATATATATATGCTGTATTTTTTTCTGTGTATGTGTGTGCGTGTGCGAGCGCGTTTGTGAGAATGTAAGTGTGGTGTGTAAGTGAAACTTATTTATCCTTTTCAAAAAATCTTATCCACCTTTACCCTGCTCTCCTACTGGCCCCTCTGTAAGTTTTGTAATTTAGGAATTTATTTATTTAATTTACCCAGTTTAACCTTTTTTTGTCTCAAAATATCACTGTATCAGCTGTAATCTGTCGTTAGTGGAGATGGTTTGCTCAGTATATTTGCAAAATACAAATACCGTATGTAGCATTGTCAATACTCAACATTTTGGATGATTTTAGCTCTTTTTACCATTGTTATGTGACAAAAACCTAGATTAATTATGAATAATGTCAATGTTCTGTAAAATTACGCAAATTTCCCTTACACCAATGTTTTGTTATAGTATCAAATTCAGGTTTAGCTATACGTAAATGCTAGTTTTGAGCCTATCTTAAAGCTGCACTAATCAATATTTGTATCTGAACAATGGATCCAATGTGTAATGTTAGATGGGTCACTTGTAGTTGTTAAACCACCGAGAGTTATCATTAGGCCATGCCATTCTACTCTGATCTACGGAGATTTTTAACCCCTTTAAGCTAATTGTTTTGGTTTTACGACCCACAACTTTACCAAATCCCAACAGCAAAGAAACAAAGTTTGTGACTAGCGGAGCTTTTAGCAGCTAAAGAGTTAAATAATTTTTCTAATGTGACCAAAACAGAGCTAAAAGTCAATTCAATATTTGACTTAAATTCACCACCTTGGCTGAAACGCAACTTCAAATGAATGCTAATGTTGCCAAGTGTTTGCTAACACGTTAGCCGTATCAACTAATAATTTGTCAATGTTGTATTTTCAGTTGCCCCAAAGTTGACCAAAAACGAACATCAATATTAGATAGCAAAAGGATAGCAATGCTTCCAAGGCCAGTTTAGGGTCGGTTAGCGGCTAACAGTGGTGTTCTGTGTTGAAGGTTGCCGCGGCTCAGAGGCAAGTCCTCACAGCTCTCCCACCACATCCTGCGGGCCCCATGGCGGCTCCAACGAAGAGATCTGGGTACTGCGCAAGCCAGTGGCAGGTAACTAAGCCGCGCTGCGCTGAGCCCTCAACCACCGACTCCCTTTAAACTCTGAGCGGGGGTCAAACAGTATCTGACATCCGTTCAAACTTCTTTTTTTTTTAAAGGCTTTTCTGCCCGGCACTGCCTTGCTGGTGTCTATGGTATTGCAAATGTCCCCAAGAACAGAACCAAAACTATCCATCTATTTCTTTGAGCTAAAAAAAAAAGATGTTGTTTGAAGGCTTTCAGATACTCTTTGACCTGCTCCTGACAGTCCCCCATGTCCTGCTTAACCCTCCATCTAAAGCTCAGCTCAACTCAGTGGCCTTATGTGTAGGACTGCAGCCATCTGCATCGGTCTACAGTCTGTGTGTCTTTCCAACTGGATGTATGGAGACATTTTCGTGTGAGAGAGAAGAGAAAAAAATGTAGGAAACAGAGAGAAGAAGTGAGAGAAAAGGTGTGTATGTGTGTGTGTGTGTGTGTGTGTGTGTGTGAAAGCGGAAGGTGTGTCTTGTTTACTCCACTTCTGTGTTTGTCGCTCAATCGTCCGTCACCCTGTCTGTCCGTCCGTCCGTCCGTCCTATCCATACAACAACATGCTGCCCAGTGCATTTCAATGGAGAGTCACACCTGTTACCACGTTGCTTTGGATATCAGCTAAACCACTCAATGTGTGTGTGTGTGTGTGTGTGTGTGTGTGTGTGTGTGTGTGTGTGTTTGTGTGTGTGTGTTGGCGACTGTTGTGCATCCATCTGTTTGTTGCATGTATGCGTCTGTATGCACAAAATCTATACATATCGTATATGTACACGATTGCATGCGTGTGTGAATGCACGTGGGTGTGTGGGTGTGTGTGTGTGTGTGTGTGTTTGTGTTTGTGTGTGCGTGTGCGTGCGTGTGTGTGTTGCAGGTGGAGACCGCTGCAGTTTGGGTAGTTCTGGCAGTGTGACCAGCGTGAGGTCGTCGGGCAGCGGTCAGAGTGCCGGCAGTGGCGGGCACACCCTCCATGCGCAGGCTGAGGGGGTTAAGGTACGGAATACACACACACACACACCAACACACAAAATGTAGCCGCACACAACTTTGTGTGTATGCACTGCTTTGTTTTGTAAGTGAATTTATGTAATATTCCACGAGCTACATATAATCACAAACAAAGAAAGCTTGACCAAAAAGAACAATATCAGCAGTGACAAAGAGAAAATGGGAAATTCAGAATTTAGACGTTTTTATAACCTGCCGAAAAATGATGTCAAGGTTTATTTGACAGCTCCTTCATTTCTAAATACTTTCCAAGGAACTTTCCTGGAAAAAAGATGAGATTTATTGTTCAACTTGCACGCTATTTGTTCTATCCCGTTGTTCTGTCTCTTCCTTCTTTTCCCTGTTAAAGGGGTTCTCTTTTGGGGGGAGTTTTTCCTTTTCCAACGCGAGGGGTCCAAGGACTGAGGATGTTTTATGCTGAACAGATTGTAAAGCCCTCTGAGGCAAATTAGTCATTTTTGGCTTTACAAATATATTGAATTGAATTACTAATTTAAGTGAATTACTAGTGTAGAGAGTCGGTCGTTCACCCCCCACTAGCAAACCGACTCATCAACGACTCTTTCGGCTGACACACAACTCCCGCCCTCTCCCGATTTTATTCCAAATGGACTATTGTTTTTTCCGACTTTTATTCCGAAACTGGGTGACTGTGGCGCTGAATGAGAGCCTTTCCGGAGGACTAGCCCGGTTCGTATGCACAACTGCGCACGCACCACAAAGAAGCGGGATTTGTGATTCACTTCTTTCACTTGTGAATCGAGTCAATTCGTTCCTCTTTAAAGACATTAACACACTCGCAGATACACTGACATACATATTTAGAGGCATTGTTCTGCATGTGTTCTTAGCCTGAAGATGTCTCTCAAGTTGCTTATTTACTCTTAAAAGCAGCCAGCTGCACATGTCACACATTTCCAGCGAGCGTCCTGTTAAAGAAACTGCAAGTGAGACACTTTTAAGCCGCTTAAAACATCCACACACAGCAAAATTAGACCCGATTGCGGCCCAGACTGACGGGTAGCATCTGTCTTCTCCGCGTCTCACTGCACTCGCTCCTCATCAGCGGCAGTCAGGTTTTTATCGCAGTGCTCGCAGTGGAAGCCTCAGAACCGAGGTTTAAATGTGATTAATCTAGCGGTAGACGGCAAACGTCACGTCTTTTATTTCCAGACAGACTTTCCTGCAAAGATCGATCTTATGTGAGAAGATGAAGTTTTAGAATTGGCATTTTGTTTGTTTCTTAATGAGAATGCAAAAAAGAACCCAACCAATTAACTTGTTTTTCCTGCTCAGGGTACATTCTTGTGTAAAGGTATTACTGTAATTCATTAGGAGTATATGAGCACTAGATTATTTATAATGGTATTTTATGATTTATAGTAGAATAAACTATTTTGATGATCATTTTCCAGTGTGTATGAAAGAAAGAAAAAATGACATGTTTTTGCATTAACAATGGCTGAAATGACAATATGTAATGTGAACATGGTCATGGAACTTGTAGTGATAAACCTATATAGAATTATCCTCCATCTCTGCAGTTCCTCCCAACTCTATAGAGCATTTTAGCATCATTCAGCTCATTGTTTTGGTTACAACCCAAAACTTTAATGCTTTGATTCGCTCTTGACGTTCCCACCAGCCCTGTTTCCAACAGCAGCAGGCAGCTATTTTCATTGATAAGCCTCGGGTAAATCCACTGCCCAGCACCAAACGAGCAGACGGTATAAAAGAAACCACCCCTGTGCATGTTCGTCTATGTGCAGCCCCAAGAAGCAATTCAAACTTAACATGTTACACCAACTTACAGGATAAAACAAATGAAAAAAAAAAATTGCTGCTTCTATTAGCCTAAAAATGTCTTATTCAGTGTTTGATTGTATTTAGCTCCACCCTCTTGTGTTACTTGGTTGTAAAAAAAAAAGATGGCGACAGCCAAAACTCGAGGCTTTAAAAGCATAGTCCACAAACCAATGGGTTAAGTCACAGTAAAGACTACCTCAACTTCTTATACAAGTTGCTGGATGCCTGTTCACGTGGACGCGTTTGTGTTCTTGTGCACTTGCAGCTTCTGGCCACAGTCTTGTCCCAGTCTGCCAAAGCCAAGGAGCATCTGCTGGAACAGTCCAAGTCTGTGGACCAGCCTGCAGGTAGGACAGGGGTCAGCTCGGGGGAGGGGGGGTCCTTCTTAAACCCTGTTACTGTGTCACTGTAATTACAGAAGGATTTTAGATGTAACTCTGTATGACTTTAATTCACAGTAACCAGCCTTGGTGTTATGAAGCTGGTGAGAACGTGGGGATGTTTTAAGAAAAAAAAGAAGATTAAAACCAGGGAGAAAGTCATAAACCACTGATCTTTTCAAAAAAATGTCTTAATATCACTTCTACACTCACACTCACACACACACACACACACACACACACACACACAGATCTTGGCTGGTTAAACAGACAGATGGCCAAGGCAGGGGATGTAGGAGGAAGTGTAGCATGGTGCGATTTGTTAAGAAGGTTTGTTATATCTTGGAGAGCAAGAATGTGATTGGCTCCCTTTCAAAGCAATGAGGGAGATTGAGCAGAAATCGATCGGTGGAGAAGAGTAGAGGTCAGGCTGGCGGAGTCAACTCATCTGTTGATCGGCCAGGAAGTTTACAGTGACAGGGCGACAGCTTTTTTTGTTAACTGGCCAATGGTATTTCTCCCAGCAGGCTCCGCCAGCTCCTCTCGGACATCGAGCCAATCAGGCTGTCCGCTGCACGAGGCGCCGCCTTACGACGCTGTGGTGACCAGGAAGGGGGAGGGGCAAGGCGAGGGGAAGGTAGGACAGTCCCGGAGTCTCCGCAGACTCAGTCCTCTCCCACTTTCATTCAAAACGCAAGCGAGTCACATACAGACACCATCAATGTCCGTGATGAGAATGTAGCTCCTCAGTCACCTCAACCACAACCCTCTCTCTCCTCCACACACACACTCACACACACACAGACTATATATATTTACACACACCAAGATGTCCCAGCGGTTTCTCTCGCAACTGGCCTCGTCCGTGCTGCGAGTGTTCGGATGCAGCCATGACACGGTGAGTGTGTGAGTGGAAGATCTCCGGTTTGATCTTGTTTGGGTCCTGGAACGAGGAATCTTGTGTGTGTGTGTGTGTGTGTGTGTGTGTGTGTGTGAGCGAGAGAATCCTGTCCTTCTCTTGTTTATCTGCTCCCTGCTATCCATCGTTATTCACTCCTTTTAGTTGCAGCTTCTGCCTCTTCCATTGCGGTATTTTTCTTCTTCTGTTGCAGAGACAAATGTCTCTCAATTGATGCTCAGTAGCTGCGCCTCATGCAAGATATCGGTGTATGTGTGTGTGTGTGTGTGTGTGTGCTGGCAGGTGCCCAGCAGCGTGCATGCCGTGGGTGGACTAGCTCGGCACAAGAAGTGTGAAATCCAAGCTTACACCATGTACAGTAAACTGTTATTTACTGTAGAGTGTGTGTGTGTGTGTGTGTGTGTGCGCGTGTGTGTGTGCGTGTGTGTGTGCGTGTGTGTGTGCGTGTGTGCGCGCGTGTGTGTTTCTATATGTGTGTGGGCCCACATTTAAGTTCATGTCTTCATTTTCTAATAATTATAAAGCATGATAAACCGACTATGAGCATATTTAAATAACAGGTGGTCTTGGTGGTTGTGTGTGTGCATCGCTTGCCTACAGTGTGTGTGTCAGTGTGAGTGTGTGCTGTCATGTAAGCCATGTTCTCGTGGCCATCTGTTAGCTAGAGTCCCGATTCCTCAGCAACCCGTAACGTGTGCCACGGTAGGGTGAAGGCGATGAACGGTGGTTCAGCGAGAAAAAACAATCAGCTTTGCGGGAACAGTGTGGAGGAGGAAGAGGAGGGTCGTGGGGAATTATGAGGAAGAGGAGATGGAGAAAGACAGAAGGGGTGCCGGACTTTAAAGGAGGACCAAGGTGCGTAGGAAGAAGTTGTGCAGTGGTTTTAACAGTTCCACCCGGTCCTGTAGCTCCCCTGCTGTTGCCCATCAGCTTTAAGAGCAGGACATTGCAGCAAATCAGCAACTTAAAGAAGCCGGAGCAACCAGCTCCAGGTGCCTGGATTGTAACATTACCATTAAACAACAACCAGCTATATAAATAAAGCAGCTATATAAATAAAGCAGCTGTAGAATCCTCATCCTAAAGCACATCTATGAATAGAATCACCCAGAGTAATTAGGTAAGCATCATTAGCAATGTAGCTTATTATTTAGGGAATGTGGTATATTAGGTGGTATATTTTTAGTATTTATATGCCCATATTTCCTGAATGTTTTTTTTTAATTTCAGCTACATGTTTAGCCATCAACACCTGAGCTTTTGTTGTTAGCCTCGTCTCAGCTGGTTCAACTTTTTGGCCCAACATCTAACGAACTGGAAATCCCTGTTGAAGTGTGAGAATATTTGAGGAAAGAGAGTTCTCGTGGGGACATGTGTGAGAACAATGAGTGTGTGTGAGTAAGTGATAAATATATATATATATATATATATATATTACATTTATTTCCGAGTTATCACCACGCTAATGCAATACAGCGTTTTCAGCGTTTTCCAGCTGTAAAGTGTCAAATGCCCACTTCTAATCTGTAGCTCTTCCTGTAGCATTTGAGAAACTAAAGGCCGGGCCTTTCTCCCTCCTAACTTTAGCCTGGTTTTCCCTACAGGGCCAACTAGGGCTAACCAGGGCTAAAAATCAGCCGGGTTTTGAGGCCAATAAATCATTATAATCATCCGTAAATGTATACGAATTTGTCTTTTTGACAATAGTAAAGATGTACTGACAGACATGGTGGACAGTCCCTTACTACAGTATCTATTGTGGCCCCTTGTTTGGCCCTACTTGGCCCCCTGCTGAGAGAAAAGTGGCCGTTGAAGAAGCTGACACGGAGCCAGTGACAGCATTCCCCCCCTGTCTTCTCTCCCGTAGAGCTCAGAGGCCGTTGTCCAATGGCTGAGCGACTTTCAGCTGCAGGTCTACGCTCCAAACTTCCTGGGCGCTGGGTATGACTTGCCCACCATTAGCCGAATGACTCCGGAGGTAAGGCACCCGAACCCCCCTGATCCCACCCACCCCCCCACCCGAACCCCAGAGAGGTCACAGGCACCTCCAAGGACCACAATGGAAACGAGTCTGCACGACTTTGATTTGTGCTGTCCTTGATGTTTTCCACATGCATGTATGCCATTTCCCTTTAAGGAGCACTATTAGACCACTCAACTAAACTGCACTCAGCTGTACTCTCCCTGCCTCCTGCCCATGCCTATGACTATATTCAACATGTGAATGAAGTATATTCAAACTCTGTATTTCTGTCTGGTAAATTTTAAGCTACCGCCAGCAGACTGTTAGCTTAGCTTAGCACAAAGACTAGCTGGTTCCCCCAGTTTGCAGTCTTTGTAGTAAGCTATGCTACTGGCTGCTGCCGCTAGCCTAATATTTACCATCCAGGCATGAGAGTGGTATCAAACGCGTCATCTAACTCGCTCGTGAGAAAGCAAATATTGCATGTTTTCCAAAACTATTCCTTTAAAAAGGGTACATTTCCAGTGACCTCAGACTGCAATCCTAACAATTTGCATACTATACGAAAGTAATATAAACCAACACAAACCATGAACTAGGCTACCTAATTGTTAATAATACAGTTTCAATTAATGAACACCACTTCGCCGAAATCTCATGTGCTACAATGAGGAAAAAAACGCTACTTTATGCGCGAAGCACACAGAAAGCCTCCCAAGGCTGCTAAAACGCTCTCTGGCTGACCAGGACCTTATGCTACACCGTCCGAGTTTTCCCAGAATTCACTTATGAAAGGCAGATATGATGTCATCAGGGTCGTCTTGGGTTAGGCTTGAGACCCATACTAGGGACCAAAAGTCAGGATAGCTCGGCCTCTGCTGCTTTGATTTTGACTATTTTATTTGACACCCCCAACTCAATAAAATAATTCTAAATCACTGGAGTACCCCTTTAAACTACACATAAAGAAGTATAATATTTATATAATATAAATATTATGTTCACATTGTTATATGCATTGTTGATGCATGTTATATGCATCAACCTAGTGATACTTTTACTGAACTGCATCATATGTTCACCAGGCACGTTTCTTATAAATACATCGTGTACCAGTCAGAATCACAAACTGGAGCTAAAAAAAGGGGAAATTGAATAAAAGAATCAATAATTGAAAATAAGCTCAATATATCCACACAACCTCCTGACCCTCCCATCACCTTCAACACTGCTGCTGCTGACTGTTCTGAGGAAGAAGACCGATGCTCTCACCTACATACAAATAATTTATAGCACACATAAATTATTTGTGTATGTACGTACACTGTGCATGCTGGATGGCTCAGAGCTGAGCTGACTTTAAATGGGTTTTGTCGTCAGAGATATATCGTAGTATTCTGGCCTATTCTACTGTATGATTGGGTCACACCTGCATATAATGTATGAGTTATGCAAATGTGTTTGTGTGTGTTTGTGTTGGGGTGATTGTCGTGATTGTTCATGTGTGTTTGTTAAAGTGTGTTCTCGTGTGTCCACCACAACTACCACTGAAATACACAGAAACAAAAGTAAACAGACAATGACAGGATGATGCACTGTATTTGTTAACTATAAGGTTCCAAATATGTCAACACACCATCACTTTAACACACTTTAGTTTGTGTGTAAACACGAGCTTGTTCGCTTACCACAGAAGTTGAATATAAATGATATCTCGGAGAATCTGATTCTTTGCGTCCTTTTCACTGCAGACATTTGCTTTTTGCTTTCCTTTGCTTTTCTTATGATTTTTGAGACATTTACATTTCTGCTCTATTCTCAACTGGCAGAAGCTTTCATCAGATGTCACGCTGTCACTTGTTTCTTTGTGTTGCAAATTTTCCTCTGTGTGTGTGTGAGAGAGATAGTGTGTGTGAGTGAAAGAGAGAGACTGCTGGAGTCTTGGGGAAATTTGAATTCCCTTTGTGGAGGAAAAAAAGCCTGAACATGCAATCACTGTGTCTTACTTGTGTGTGTGTGTGTGTGTGTGTGTGTGTGTGTGTGTGTGTGTGTGTGTGTGTGTGTGTGTGT